AGGTTCCCCTCGCAAATATGTGCTTGTTATTCCCGACTCTAGGGGGTGGTGCTCATCTTTGTTTCAAAGCCAAAGAGCGCTGTCCGAAGACGTCTTCATGGTCATGTGGCCATGTTCCCTTCCCACCAAAGTTGGTCCCTATTTTTCTACTTGCATTTTTACATGCTTTCGAACTGCTAGGTTGGCAGAAGCTGGGACAAGTAATGGGAGCTCACTCCATTACGCGGCACTAGGGATTCGAACCGCCGATCTTTCTGATCAACAAGCTCAGTGTCTTAGCCACTGAGCCACCGCGTTCCTTTGAGATAGGACTAATTTAGTGGTTTCCGCCATGATCTGTGATGCCCTGAAGTCTCTAGTTTAAAAGATGAGCAATGTTTCAGGCAGAACCAAGACCAGCTCCCTTGGCTTTGAGAAGACTTTCAAAAAGTACTTGGATTCAGAGGCTGATGCAGTATAAGGAAAATCAGAAGAAAAATTACATGCTTCTCTTTTTACATCTTAAATCAATTTGTCACCTTTGTTTAAAGTGGTTGATTTAGAGCTCCTTGCCAATAAAAATTTGGTTTTGTTTTCTCATACTGCATCAGGGCTTTATTTTTTCTTAGACTGCATATGCCTTACAAGTAATTTTTCAATTTGCCAGCTTAGCGGGATTTACCCAAAGGTTAAAGAAAACAAAATAGTTCTTTTGGAGCCTGTATATTCTGCATAATTATAATTGTCTTGGCACTTACTGCAAAATCTATTAATGTTGTAAGTGTCAGGTTTCCGAAAAATGCCCTCATTAACTTATGAGATCCGACCCTGGCCAAAGGTATGTGTGGAATGTGCTCCCCCCCTTCCGCCCATGGCAACTCGATAACAGGCATGGAAGTGCTTTGCAAGTTGGTAGTAAGATTATGATTTTGCTTTTTAGAGTCTCAACTTACGTTAGTGTTCGGATACATTTAGCAGAATCGCGGATGTCCCACACCTTAATATAAGATGTTGAGACTGTGAACACCAAACTAGTATAATTACAGTATTTTACAGATACAACATTGTTAGGGTGACCACTCAGAGACATGATTTCCTGTCCGGTAACCAAATTCCATACTTTACAAGTGCGATCTAAAAAGAAAGAAAAACAACAACAAATAAAACATGCTAGATTATTTTGCACAATACAGGCATTCATGCCTTCGGTTTATTTGTTGCTTCATAATGAATTGCTAGTTTCACAAATTGCGTAAATATAGGTAAAAGATGCAAATCAATGTCTAAAAATTATCAACAATTATTATACTAACAAGTTGCTCAAAGAGTCAACTAATACTAGCAAAGGAACAGACACATAGGCAGCAAAAATTCTATGTAAAGAAACGTTGAGAGCAGGCAATAATATTTTCAATTTTTAAAAAAAACAGAAAGCAGGATACTTTCTTTGGCTACAGTAGTGATGTAGTGATATTCTTACAAAGCAAATCTGTATTCCATATCTTATAACTTATTGTTAGGTTATTGTAGCGTGGTGCATGTGAAATTCCTTTTGAAATAAATTGAAACTTCAGTGGCTGTAAAATATAATTATAGGATGTTGCAATTAAAATATCCTTTTGACATGGCTTTGCATGCCACTTTAGGCACACTTGCCATTGGTTGGCCATCACGGGTATAGAGTTTATAGATACAGTCCTCTAAAAGTTTTATTATCCCCACTATTGTTATCTTGCCCTGTCAAAAACTTAGGCTGATATTTTGATGATGCTTCCCATTATACCTCGCAGCTATTTTTTTCCCAGCCAAATTTCACATTGCTCCAAATTGAATCCGTTTGCCCTTGAATCTTGAATTGCGAACTTTCGTGCCTCCTTGATTCGACTTTCAAATCTTCCATTAAAATGTAATAAATGGATTCACACAGGCTTAAAATGTAACCTGTTATTCTTAGAACATTTCATGATCCATTGGTAACCCCACCAATATTGAAAGCAGGCTTCAGAAAGCTACATAAGCCCCATGGAAAGCCATCAAACCTTTTGATCCAGTGAAGAGAAGATCATCGGTAGAATCAACACAAAGCACAGCCTTCATGTGACCTTCAGCAATATAGATACACTGAACTGGGGAGGGTCGGATACATTTTGAAGTAACTGGGTTGATTATGCCTCTAAATGGTAAAAAGAAGCATATATTAGTCATGGTGTCAAGTAATTTTTAATCTGATTTTACTATTCCAGCCACCTAGCCCTGCATTAGCGGAAATCTTTCAGAAAGATTTAGATTAAGAATACGAGCCATGGTGGCCCGGTGGTTACAATGCAGTACTGCATGCTATTTCTGCTGGCTGTCTGCAATTTGGCAGTTCAAAAGCACCACCAGGCTCAAGGTTGACTCAGCCTTCCATTCTTCTGACGTTGGTAAAATGAGGACCCAGATTGTTGGGGGCAATAGGCTGACTCTGTAAACCGCTTAGAGAGGGCTGTAAAGCACTGGGAAG